GTTATGATCTACCCTCAGGGCTTGTTTTATATTATATCACTGTGCCTACAGTGCTTTTTTGTTATCCTGATTATTCTTGCTCCTTTGTTGCTGCCAATATTCAAAAAGCCATCTTTTATTTTTTAGTAGAACCGCAGTGTTTCCTTGAAATCCTGGGGACACAACAGTTACTATGTAAAGGGGTCAACTCTGGTGCTGCTGTAATAAAAACACAGCATGTTACCTCAAGTACTCCTGCTGCAAAAACACACATACAGTAAGTTGTGCTGATTGCATGTATGCACCGCAGCTGCCTCTCCATTGGTCCAATCGGGAGTCTGTTACATTCCACTTTTCCCTCAGCCCAATCACAAGCCGGGATCCTTTATTTTTTCCCCTTGTTGCTGTGCGTAGTTAGGTTGAAGAGCGCTAAATACCAACCCGAGTATCTAACATCTGTCAGCCATTTTAAGCGCACAACAGCAGAGACAACATTTGGATTGCAAGTTGATTAGCAGCCCAATTACACATGCCAACAGCAGCCAGAGAGCAGATGCAGTGTATGCACCGTGCCTAAATGCATAAATTACTTGCATGTATACATAAGATCACGACACCGCAAATATGCAACGTTTCGGCTCCTGCTTTGTGCTCCAGACCCCTGCAAAAAGGTTGTCTCTCGCTGATGTGATAACGTTACTCGGTCGGACAGGACACACAGAAGTCGTGTGACAAAACGGCAGGTTTCCTAAGCAACGCTGAACATGCTGAACATATCAGAGTGGTTTACCTTGTGAAATCGTCCTCTGCAGTGCGAGTGCCAAACAGAATAACTGCACCTAGCTAAATGTCAGCTAGTGACAGACTACAACCAAGGCGGACATGCTAGCCGTTAGCTTAGCTAGCCGGTAATTTCAGGAGCGACAGCGTCATCTTCAGCACTCCAGCTCTCCGCCGTGACTCCGGTCAAACACCCAAAGTCGACCCGGTTTCATAGCTTTGGTTTCAAGCTTTCAAACGATGCTAGTTCCCAACTCGAGGGTAGCAAAATCCCGAAGATATCAAATTAATGTTGCTTGGATGAGGCTAAATATTCAGTCAAGATGGCTTGAAAAATACGCCCCTTTGGAAAAAACCACCCTAGCCAATTGTAGGTCGGCGCTTCACCTCGCGCGCAACGCGCATCGCCTTCTGATTGGTCAGCGTGATAAGCCGAACTCATCGAACTCAATGTGGAGATCATAACATAAAGAAGCGATGAGAAAAACAACGATACATATATTGCGCGCCTTATGGCCTCGTCTGTATTTCCCATAGACCCCATAATGTAGGCTACCTGTTATATACACTTGCTGTCTCCAGGGCAACACTGTAATTTAAACAATTCAGTGTCCAGATGTAATAACCACACTGACCCCATATTTTAGATGACATATACACCTGCTATTTCCAAGGGAGCATTGTAATTTAAACAGTCTAATATCCAAATATTATAACCACATAGACCCCATACTGTACCTGTTATATACACCTGCTATCACCAGGGAAACATTATAATTTAATCAATCTATTATCCAAATGTAATAATGACATAGTAAAAAGAAAATAATAAACAAATACTCATGAACACAGTTAATGTTATGTGCACAATTTGGATTTGCAATCCTGCTGACATATTTGTGTACAATAAAGTGAAAGCAATATACAGGATTTTAGAAATTCATGAGTCCAATTCACACGCAATATTTTAACTATTCTGTTAACTGTTTAGTGATATTGCTTGTAAATTCTGTAAAAGTTTATTATTTTCCATGTAAATAGTTTAACAAAGCAGTTCATACTAAAAGCCGCCCTATTAGTTTTTTGAGAGCTCTCTTGAACAGTCATCATCATATGGAGTTCATCAATTGTCATGAAGATGGATCTGTTGACATGCAAACACAGTACTTGTTATGATTCCATCCACATCATCTTTAGGCTTTTCATACATATTGGTGTTAAAGTTAGAGAAGGTTCATACATCATGCAGCATAGAAACCCTGCAAGAAGCCAGTAAGAAGACAGATGTCCAAGGTCAAGAATGAGTTTTTATGCTTGTTGCATGGCAGTTTTGCCTGATTCAGTGGTCTGCAGTCAGGCAAATTTAAGCTCAGTAGCTGTGGTAGCTGTTGAATCCACAGCATCTTTAGGACACCATGTCCATATTGTGCAAACAGTCCTAACTGAAGTCCCACTCAGTGTAATGGCCTTTCCTGGATGTTTCACCGAAAGAAAAAACTTACAAAAATGAACTTTTAATCCAACACAGATGAAAAGTTTTAAAGTGCTTGCAAGCTTGCATTATAACACATCCATCTATATTACAAATGCATAACTTCTGTCTGTTGATGAGGTTTGTGTGATAGCCTACTGCTGAGTCAGATATGTTAGAATGTCAGGGATACGTCTCTAGTGGGGAAATGCTGAGTCCTTATTTATTTATATGCTGCTGGCCTTACATTAGTCAAGGTTTCCTCAAGGTTTCTAAAACCCTAAGTTCCTCAGGTGTATCTATATCCCCAGCTGAGCTTCTGTAATTCTTAAAAGTGTACATGTCAAAACTATTTGAAACATATACATGTTTTCTCTTAGCTTTTTCTCGGTTTGTCTCTGTTTGTTTTTCTCCTCCTCAGCCAGTGTATATTATAGCTCCATGTCTATGTTGGATTGTCACTGCATGTGGGAATGAGAGCCTCTAACAAACCAAAGTCACATGTATGAGCTTACTTGATAATTGATTTAGCATGATTCTTCTTTTACTACATCAGGGACACTGAAACCCTCAGTGCTGTCTCTGGGAGGCTTTAGTGACCGAAAGAGGAGTTTACATTTCACAGTTACAAAAAAATCTTAAGGCATATTGAATAACAAAATAATAATACAACAGCTAATCCAAATAACATGTTAATGTATATTCAATTAAATGAATGAATATATTGTGGAATCATTAACTCAGTATTTCTAACATCCTGCATTACATATATAATTCATACAAGAATCCTTTGTACTTCTCTTGGCTGAGTTGACAAAAATGGCTCCATTAGAATAAGTGTACCTAATTTTCTGACCTTCTGGTTCCACTGGTAGTAGATTTGACAGTAATATTATGGGTCTGAGGCCCATCAAAGCCAACAATGATTTTAACTTAATTAAGTACGTCCACTGGCAGGAGTCGATGCACTTACTTCATCTTGCCAATGCTGAGATGTTGTATTTCACCATGCCAGCAGGCTTTTGTTGAATTTATTTAAATATTATTATACTTATTTTATAGTCTGCATGAACTTGCTCAAACTGTTGAGCTGATCACGGGCTGACTCAGTTGTTTAGATCACTAATTTTACCACAGGAGCTATAAAATGTCTGCTGAACGCACACAATGACTAAATCACTCCGCTGTCAAACAATCCCTGTTGCAGAGGCATTCAAATTGATTTATGTCAGTCTGTTTCAAGTTGTTCAGCTGTTAACTGACCACACACTTCCACTGTAACTTGATTTTATAACATAACTTAAAATCTATTATGAAACCATTTGTGAAATACCAAACTGTTACACCTAATATATTGTTTTTGTTATAGGGAAAGTTCACCAAAAATCAAAAATACATATTTTTCCTCTTAGCTGTAGTGTCGCCTCTCAACCTAGATTTAGTGTAAATTACAAAGTGTTGGAGATATCATCCATAGAGATGTCTGCCTGCTCTTGAACTAGTTGGCACTCGACTTGTGGTGCTCAAAGTGCCAAAAAAATACATTTGAAAAACTCAACAGCAATGTCTCTTTCCAGAAATCATGACCCAGTTACTGAAGATAATCCACAGACCTTGTTGTGAGTAGTTTCATGTAGGAACTATTTTCTTTTTACTAAACTATACCCACCAACTGTATCACCACACAGGAGGAAGAGTGCATCTACTCATGCACGAAAGGCTCGTGCTCATGACAGCACAATCTGTAATTACCGATGGCGTCCTCCTCGGCCGAGCTGTAATATTAGCTAGTTCAGTGGTGCTAGGTGTGTTAGCAGTAGATGCATGCTTCTGTCCGTGCGGTGATTTGGTCATGGGTGTAGTTTTGTAGGAAGAAAATAGATACATGAAATCGCCTGTGGATTATCTTGAGAAAAATATGTGATTTTGGGGTGAACTGTCCCTTTAACCTGCAACCATAAAGCCTCTTGGTTCAGATTTTAATGGTAAAATGCAAATAAAAATGTATGAATTGGACAGAACAGGCATGTCAGCATGTACACTTGCTATTTTATTAACATTAGAAAATTAAACAATTCTTTAAAACAAACAGTGTCATGTGGACGAGACTTGCCCAGAGTGCCAATCTGACAAAAACGACAGTTTCAAATATTGATTTTGGAGCTGCACAGAAGTCCTGGCTCCCTGCTAGCTTTCACCAGATTGGTCGTTTTTATCTGTGCCCATTCCTTAATAAAAAATTCTTATTTATTCAACATACTCAGCCTTCAACATCTTTCCAAGGCCATCTCTCAAAGCTGTTTTTATGTTCAGTTCTCTGCATGAATCTGTTCACTCAATATGTTTTTTTTTTCCTTTCCATTTTGCAACAGTTTGATAAACCTTCAGGACCTCGCAAAATCTTTAACCGGTCAGTCAATTCTGTGGTTGGATTTTTTTTCCTTTTAAAGTGTTAATAAAGAGCAGAGAGAGGACCGTAATGCCGCACACTCTCATGTTACAGCTTCTTTAATTTCTTACATGCACAAACACCTCCCAAGGAATCTAATACACACGCAACATTCACATTTGTCCCTTTGAATATGTTATTCATGTACATGTCATTTATTGCACTAGTAACTTCAACACTTTAACTTGATTATGTTTTTCTGATTTAACTACATATGTAGCTGTCTGTAAGTGTAAGTAACCACATTTTGTTCCACAGTGGAAGCTATATGTTCATATCTCATGCTGTTTCTTCCCACCCCTTCAAAATTGGTCCACTTTCTCCACCCACAAAAACCTCACTGGCTGCCCAAACCCATTTGAATCTGAAAAACTTCAGATCAAGCTGCATCACAGTCGAGCTCACTGGGGTCCATCTGAAGTCTGACGTGCCAGCAGCAGCCAATCTTGGACTCTTGTCAGGTAGTATGGACATCCATCATTTCTACTCTCCTTAGTAATTGTCACTGGCACTGTTTAATGTGTTGATTTCATTACTGTGTTTGCATTTTCATCAAGACAGGCCTTAATTTATATGTATTTAAGTTTATCAGTGTGAATCATGAATCACAACCAACCATTAATTGTCTTTTTGTGACTTGTAGGATGCAAATCAGGAGACTCCAGATGCTGTTTGGCGTATTTGTATTGTCTGTAGGGTTTTGGCTGGACATAGGAGTGTGCACTGCAGGTAAGGAAGTATTTTTTTTATCACAGGTTCATACTTATGTAGACAAAATTCTGACACAGCAGTAAATATAACAGATTTAACCAGGCTTGTTAGATAATACTGACAATTCCAAACCATGTTGAATGTGACTGAGTGTGCTTTGATGTAGAGGCATGTGTGATTGACAGCATGAAAAAAATATAGTTTTGTCATTTCACACCAGTATTTCAAAGTCTGACCGGGTCACTGCATTCGTACATCAGTGTGGTGGCAGCTTGCTTTTTTTCCTCTGCCAAATTCCTCATGTTTTCACCACGGGTTTGGTAGAAAATTCTCAGGCTTGACGAGACATAAATACACAAACAGTCAGCTCGGATCAATATCAAAGTGTAGCGCCACATCCTGTCCAACTCTTGTTGAAAAACAGAAAGGGAGGCAAGCCAGTTGACACTCTCACAAAAAACGGTAATAAATCAACTCTTTGGAGCTAAACAAAGGCCTTGTGTCTCACAGTGGCCAAAAAGTCTTGAAGAGCTTGTATACGTGTCATCTTTTGAAAAGGAGGATCTGATGGTTGTCAGGATCACCCTGTGGCGATGGATCCCCAAGGCCTTGGCCTGAATTGAGGCTTTTGATACTCTTTGACTTCCCTCCCATCTCACAGTGCCATGGCATTGAGACTCTTTGAATTAAAACACTGCTCTAAATAGATTGTGGTGTGCAAAGTGGGAGAGGACAGTGGCCAGATCTCTAGGATACCGGAAACCAGTTGTGACTGGAAGGTCAATACATGCGCCCCAAAGTTCACCTCAGACATCTCTGCATGTCAGAGTAAAGTCTGAAGATGGCCAGTGCACAAAGAGGTCTTTGATTCTGTTAAATTTAACTGAGAATAACTTGTGAATCAAAGAAAAAATAACAGTAGTTAGTTGCTGTCTTACTTTAATGTATCCCCATTATTTGTCTCCTCCTCATGCTTTTCTCCCTTGTTGTTGTTAACACAAATGGCCAGAGGGACTCAAGACACAAATTTGACTTTAGACTCAGCTTGACAAAATCAAGAAAAGATTTGCAACTGGACTTTAACAGTAATGACTCGTGACCTCACGGGGGCGAGACTTTTGACTTGAAAATACTTAATACTTTCCCCCAAGCCCAAAGATAAAGTTTGTTTTCTAAAAAGTGTGTCACGAATCAATTTATTTCCCTCCATTTCCTGAATCAGCCAACATTAGTACTTTTCATTTCCAGCATTCGACACTAAATTCCCCAGATCCACTTTGTTTGAACACATCCAAAATCACTCAGTCAAGCTGCAGGAGAGAATGAAGACCCAATGTTACGTAAGTGAGTGCCAGCTGGCAAAAATAATACCAAATATAATTTAATTTGCATACAAAAATATGCAGTGGCCACAAAACAGAACAAAAACAACAATTTCCAACAAACTTGTTTTAACAAATAAATCCAAAATTTAAAAAGCATTCATGATTTTTGTAAATCTAGTATATTATTCCTCTGTTGTTAAAATGGCATTACATTTGGTGAAGAGCGCATTATGACTTGTTTAGGGCCCCAACCTAAAAGTTTAGGACTTGAGTGCAAAGACTTGAGACTAACTTGTGACGTGCAAAACTATGACTTGGTCCCACCTCTGCAAATGGTGCTTGTATATCCAAACCACTGGTTCACATAGAGGGGTACTACAGCCTGGGGTGGCTTAAGGATCAGCCCTCAGTGCTGTAAGATTTCTTCATTTTCTTTAATTTTAATTTTTCTTTCTTGTATTGTTGGACTTTGCTGATAACATTGAAAAGAATACGGTGACATTTATATTATCTACTTACTACTATTTGATAGAACAATGAGAAGTAGTATTGCATGTGACTGAGAAAATGATATTGCACTACACTGACAAGTGAAGTGTATATTACAAGGACACCAAAACAGAACAGCTAAGAAATGAAAAATAAGAACCAGTGGTTTTACAGCTATCTGCTTGGGGAGGCTGTATGTAGGCACAGTGGTGCTTTGAGCTAAACGCTAAGATCACAAAAGTCAAGGGATCACCAAAGTCAGTAGGAGTCATCCTCTGGGTACCATGAATGTTCAATCAATCTAGTAGATGTTGAGATATTTTACTGGAGGTGCTGGATGAAAGTCAGATCATTATGATTCATCCTCTGGAAACCACGCTTGACACATTTTCATCCTAATACATAGTTGTTGGGATATTCTAGTCTGGACCAAAGTGGTGAACCAACCAACAGTATGATTTCCCAGAGCCAGGCATGCCTGCAAGCAGCTGCTCTGTTACTTTAATGTACCCTCACTATTTTTTCTGGTGGTTCCTGGTCTTTCCCTTAAACTTGACTAATGTCTACTTGTGACCCCCCATCGCCTGTTATGGCTTTGTCAGTCTGGCTCACAGGATGTAGATTGATCATTGGCTGCCTATCCAAGCAATCCCTGTTGCTTCATGTCTCATCTCACATAGCCAGACTAATCTCCACGCTCTGTTTCAGTGCTGTGCGTAAATCATCAGTAACAACTTTTGAGCTAGCGACCTACATCTTTTCAACATCTTTTCATGTTTTATGTGGCATTTTCATTTGCTGGGATTGATTTAGCCATTGTAATGCCAGCACTCACCTCTCCACCAAAACAAGTTCCTCTCTGACACTATTTTGTTCAAGATGATTGTGATTGGTTTAAAAAATACAAACAACCCAAAGTGTTTTAATATGCTTAGGGTGGGATTATGATGGGTTCAGGCAGACCTTTTTCCAGCGCTGTGAAAGGTCTGGCTGTGAGAGATGATGGGCTGTGAAAGGGTGATTTTTTTCATCCTAATTTGATTTTATTTAAATAGTTTTCAGAGGCCTGAGGAGTAAAAATATCCAGTATTTAAATTTTAGTCACCTGGTGACCCCTCAGATTTATGTAAAGCCCCTTTGAGGAGGTCCCAACCCCAAGATTTATTTTTATTCTCCTCATATCTTAACAACTTTCTAGTTTTCAAAGACATAATGGACAATGCTTGTATTGTGTCTAAAAGTTACCGTACTAACGTTGTCCTTTTACTTTTTTCTCCCTCAACATCAGCGCAATCAGAGATGAGAATCACAACCATAAAGGTAGTTCATTTGTTTCTTTTGAGCCTCTAGTAAAGGTCAATACACAATTTAAGATATAACACATGTCATTGATTATCTTTTACTTTTCTTTTTTTTTTTCCAGCAAGAGCCATATGCAATGTCCAAAGGTGCACAACTGGAGGGCTTTTGTATGGACCTGCTGTCTGAAGTAGCCAAGAAAGTGGGCTTCAAGTACAAAGTGCATCTGGTGAAAGACTCTTCATATGGCAGACAGGATGAGAGCGGGAACTGGAATGGGATGATTGGAGAGGTGGTGAGAGGGGTGAGTCCATGAAAAGTGACATTTGGTGGGGTCAAAGGGCAGCTAGCCGCTCTGCAGGAGGTTGAATTAACCAGCTGGTGTCTGTGACTCACAACAGATAGATTCAAAATCAGTGAATATGTGGTGTGAACAATATCAGCATTGGTGCAATAAGAATCTCTAATATTCTAAGAGGAGTGTCTATAAATGTACATTAAGTATTCATGCGTCCCTACAGGAGGCCGACCTTGCGATTGCTCCGCTGACTCTCACTGCAGCTCGGGAGAAAGCAGTGGGGATGACCAAACCGTTCATGCAGACAGGAATCAGCATCCTGCTGAGGAAGGACATCTCAGAGGGAGCAGGCTTCTTTGATTTCCTGACTCCCTTTACAGCCGAGACCTGGATCGGCATACTCATTGCCTACCTGGGGAATGCTGTTTGTATCTTTATAGTTACCAGGTTGGTGATGCAATCAATGTATAATAAAAGTGATAATTATGATTTATTTGTTGATGGTGACTGCTGTGCTGTGGATTTATATATATATGTCTCGTCTGTGGACATTTTCACATTTCTGCTGGCGGTGGAATCCCTTTGAGTGCGGTCACATTAATAAGTAATATTTTTATGCAAATGCAGACTCAGCCCATGCGAGTGGAGTCAGCCTCAGACTGAGCAGAACAGATTCAGCCTCCTCCACAGCCTGTGGTACACAGCTGGAGCTCTGACTCTACAAGGTAAGCACTAAAACCAGGCACTTTGTATGTCACCAAATGGAGACCAGCGATAATGAATTTACTGATTACTGGAACACTTTTCTCTTTCTGTGTTGTCAGGTGCTGGCCCTCACCCCAAAGCTCTTTCAGGACGCGTCATCTGCTGCAGCTGGTGGTTATTTACCATCGTCCTCCTGGCTTGTTATTTCTCCAACCTCAACTCCTCTAAGACCTCTGAGTCCACTCACCTGACAGTGAAAGGGTTTGAGGACTTGGCCAATCAGGACATGATTGAGTACGGCTGTTTGGCCGGCTCCTCCACTCTTTCCTTCTTCAAGGTACAGACATTGGATTACTCATGGCTCCCACGTCTCACTGCTGTTTCTCTAATTCAGTTTTTCTTTCATGCAGAATTCAAACAACCCAGTGTACCGCAGAATCTATGAGCACATGGAGAGAACTAAGAGTTTTGTGTCATCTATGGACGAAGGGGTCCGACGTGCAAAAGAGGGAAACTTTGCCTTCATTGGAGAGTCTGTTTCTTTGGACCTGGCAGTAGCACGTTATTGTGAGCTGGTCAGAGCACATGAAGTCGTTGGAATGAGGGGATACAGCATCGCTGCCCCCCTTGGTGAGGTTATTCTTTTTCATAACTTATTTACCAATGATTTTTTAAAAAGGAGCATAATAAACAATAAACCTATGAATTTCCCCAAGGCTCACCCATCATAAAGAACCTCAGTGTGGCCATCCTTCAGCTGAGTGAGGCGGGGGAGCTGGCTTACCTGCGAAGCAAATGGTGGGCCAGCAGCTGCCTAGCAAACAGGGCCAAGTCTTCAGCTGTGCAGCCACACAGCCTCAAAGGGATGTTTCTGGTTCTTTCCCTGGGCCTGGGGCTGGGTGCACTGCTGGCTGTCCTGGAGCTCACCTCCAAGAGCCGCAGAAGTGCAGCTGAGCAGAAGGTGTGTGTGCAACCGCATTTAAAAATCACATCACTTCTGTCAGGCGAAAAACAACCTCCATCTCCAGAGTGTTGACTTTTCAGAGACTAAACCAAACAGCCTCATTTTTTTTATGTAATTGTGTTTATCCAACAGGGTTTTCAATGGTTTCATAAGCCTCAAGGCTGCAAAGTTTGCTCAACCATTTAAAGACAACGCAGTCTGTTACAGCAACCCTGTCATTTTCAGACTGGGTTTCACATCAGCTCTAAAACAAAATGCAGAGCACAGTCTCAGACAGTCATGCTCTCTCATCCACACAAACACCTTTACATTAATTTTCTTACATATTAATGACTTGATTTGTTTTATCTATCTGTCCTTCCCACAGAAATCCTGCTGCTCTGTGCTGACTGAAGAACTGATTCTGCGCTTGAGGACCAGCGATGCAAACAAACCTCAAGAAAATGTTGAAAAAGATAAAGAAAAAGCATAAAAATATCTGAGAAACATTTTTTAACAAGTGTGAACATTTTTTAGTTTGATAGTTTGATAGTTGTTTGAGAAATTGTTCTAATATTTGACAGAAACATTAACTTATTTGTAGGTTTTAATCTTTCCTCACAGAGATGCATCAGATAAAAAAAAACAAACAAACAAAAAAATGAAAAATAAAATGACTCACATTTTAGTAAAATAATGAATTTATTAATTTCAATGTGTGAATGCTACAATTTCAATGAAAAAGCAAACATTATAGTTTAAATATTGTTAAAAAAAACACTTATTAAAATGATCAATGTTTACAGTTTGACTAACAGATAGTGCTCATACTTAGTTTTTTTTTACATTTACTGTTACGATTTTACAACTCTGCATCATGCTGTTTTGTACAGTTGGCAATGGCATCATATGATTTCTTTTTAAAAACTATTTTATGCATACAAATGGTGCTGATTGTAAACATTACAGCAGGCCTAATGCAATAAACACTGTCTAATTGTGTAATTCTGCCCGGTGTCATCCCATTTATCCAGAAAGAAAATCAGAGCTGTTTCCTCAGCACGGTTGCCTGAAGAAAATGTTGGCATTGTACATTTCTGCAAAACATGGATACGTTACATTTGTACATTTCATACACATCAACTTTTATAAAGTGACATAGATGGGCTGACTTTGCTATCAGAACAGTAGCCAGTTTTTAGCGACCTGTTGCTGCATTTCCAGTGGTGTTTGTGCCACCAAATGTGGGTGTTTTATCCCAAAACATGATATTTTCTAACCATAACCAAGTGGTTCTTGTTCCTAAACACAACCACATATTAATCACAGTGTTGGTGAATCAAAAAAAGTCAACTTATCTGCTATATAATAATGTACAGTGTAATGAATGTAATGGAACTACAAATGTAGTTTCAGCAAACTACGTATCTGTGGTTTGCTGAAATGTACAATGCCAACATTTTTGCTGCTGATTGGGTTGGCTTCCTCCCACACCTCCTCTCTGTGGTTTTTCTTTGTCTTCTGAAGGGCCTTGTTGTCTCTGGAGTCATCTGTAAAATCTAAACTGTGTTCTCATCTAAAAAAAATCACAGTAAAAACACAATCCATGATTTATTATAGCTCCTTAACTTTTGTATCTGCAGTTCTTTTTATTAAACTTTTGTAAATTTGACACACACATCATCTATGACTCACCATTTGGAAAAAGTGGCGATTTGCAGCGAATCTCGCTCATCCTCTGGTCAAAGAGGGCCTTCATCTCCCTCTGCAGGGTGCCCTCACGTTGCTCTTCACCAGCTGGCACACAGGGGGGCACAAACTCCAGGCTGTCTGTGCTGCCGTCGCTGCTGCTGGATGTGCTGTCAGACAGGCAGAGGCCGTTGGGGATGGGCCTTATCTGGCTGCTGTAGCTGCCGTAGCTTTGTGTTCGCTGTGTCTGCCAGTGGAGAGCAGACTTACGGTTCACCATCGGTGTCTGAGTAGAGGTAGTCGGTTTTCGAGGGCAACTGCGTGAGCGGACCTTTGTACGTACAGGGGTGGACGGTCGGGGTGTGGCTGCAGCCTCTAAGGTCTGTCTCACCCTGGCAGGGGACGGTGGAGGGATAAGGGGAGAGCATATGGCTTCATGCTGGAGCAGATGCTGTGGCACGGGCCTGGGCCGAGGCCGAGGCTGAGGAAGTGAATCTGTATGACTTTGAGTTTCTGTCGGTGGCTCAGGTTCAATGGCAACAGCCTCATCTGGCTCTGGTTCTGGTGGTTCCTCAGATTGTTCAGGCTGCTTTGGTTCAGTTGTCTGAACTGCCTCCTGCTCAGCACAGTTTGACTCTGGTGATTCTTCAGGTTCACTCTCCAACTCTTCTTGAATCGGATTTTGGCTGTCAGGAGCAAAACCATCGATACAAGAGGACTGGGGAGAGGTGTCAAGGTCAAAGCTATCCGCTTTTGCATAGGGAGCAGCCCCCATGTGGTGGGAGTCAGTGGAAGACATCCGGCTGAAGATCCCCCTCCTCATCTCCGGTGGTTCATGAATTTTAACTCTGTGAGCTCGCCTCACTGGCTCACTCATGGCCCCTTTGTGGATGGCAGCCTTGGCTGCTGGGCCCTGTACCATAGGAAACATTTCTCCATTCCTGCTGTCCTGAGAAATGGTATCCAGATCCTTGCGGAAGAACAGAGCACGTCCGTCTTCTGAGGACTGGACAGAGAAGTCTAGAGAAGGCTGCCTTTGAGGACCCTTCATGTGCTTCTGGGCTGCTTTCTTTATGTGTTTTCTGGCCGCCTGCACTGCATTTGCCGGCTTGATCTGTTTCACAAAGGACACCAAATCTTTTAGGATAGTGCTGTCTGATGAAGCTGAAATTAGATGTGTGAGTTAGAAAAGCTTACCTTTCCTGTTACATCATTGATGGCAACATGAACAAAGATGGATGACTCTGCCATCCCCTCCAGGTACACATGCCGATAACCTAAAAACAGGAGAACATGTTACCCCAAAAATATTTCACGTGAAAGGAACAGTTCAACATTTTGGGAGAATGCTTATTTGCTTTTGTTGCTGGGAGTTTGCTAATTGGCATGTGATGAGTGAAGTTTAGAGATGACAAGTTCTGGTTTTGCAAAAGGTAACATCTATAAAACAGATCCTCCATATGTATGCAGAATCTATAGGCAATGGGAAAACACATTTTGGTATCAGAGGAGTTCTGGTTTTCCATTGGTAGTCTAGTAGTATTGACCAATCACATTTGAACGGCAGGCAAACAGTCTGTGTGGAGAGGTGGAACACACTGACCGTAATGCAATCTTGTCTAATGAAAAGTCTTGGCTCATCAAATGGCTACACCAGATCTCTTAAAATACTGGCCCTTGCCCGCAGAAGCTTATCATTATCATAGCCAAAGGGTTCCAAAATTGTACACAGGATTATGTGTGAGAGTGTAGAGAAGCGAAGTCCCTCCTCTTCCAGTGGATCACAATGGGATCTTATTTTGGAAAAAATATGTGTGGTGGTCAGCAGCAAGAGACAAAATGTTTTGATCCCATTTGAATTGTGCCTTACACATATGATGTTCGTCAGTTCAAAAGACAATTTTGCATGTCCATAAAGTTGCACTTTGTCCAATAGAAGTCCAACAAACTGTCACTTTCTTGACTCGCACAATTATCTTTCAAATAAACACTGTATGTGTATCACGGCACAACTCAAACAGAATAATGAAATAATTTGTCTCTCACCACTGACTGGGTTATGATACTTTCTTTGTCAATCTGAAAAAAGGTCCTATGGACACGGAAAATAGGGGCTTCGCCTCTCAATGTCTTGACTCTGCAGAAACATCCTGTTGCAGTGAGAGTCCAGGAAGTTAATACAAGGTAAGGTAAGAGCTATAGGCTAGCTGTTTCCCCTTCTTTCTAATGTTTGATCTGACACACATGACAGTGATATTAATCCTCTCATCTTAACTCTCTGCAACAAGCATATTTCCCAAAATGTCTGACTATGTGCAAACTCTGGAGTGTGAATAACTGATACCATGTAATCTACCTGGCATCATACTCTTGAAGGCAACAGTCCTCTGCCCAATGAAATCTCGCCCAATAGGATCGTGATCCCACACTTGGAAACGCACTAGGGCCATCTGCGGCATTTGAATGTTGAAGACGAGGGTCTCCTCCCACATGGGGTTGAAACCTTGAATGACAGTTAAAGTGAAGTTACACATAAAGATAAACTAGAAAGTGGACTGTCTGTCATGAGATTCCAAGATGAGACGCACCATTATCATCCACCACCCTGGTCTGCTGCTTGGAGCAATCATTATTTAGACCGATTATCTCGACCTCAACAAAGGGATCGATGATCTGCAAGCAGAAAAACATGAGCCAGATTTGAATTTTAGTGATGAAGAAGATCTTTGTAAAGGTTAGCAGGTGTCTCAATAACAGATTATGTCTGTCACCTCTCCTCTATCCCCAAACATGGAGTCTTTGGGTTTGGGAAGCTGCTGTCCGCTGATGATCTTCAGCACTAACTGAGTCTTTCTGTGTCCTGGCAGAGGATCCTCCAACATGGGGTTAAAGGCAGCTGAGAAGAACCAAAACACTTTTACTACCTCCACACAGAGAGTTGCTATTAACTCTGCAGAATCTGCATATGCACATACATTTACACAAACACTTAGGCCTCAGAATATATCCACAGTTTCCATTGCTTGAGAACTTGGCTCGGTTCAGTTCCAGCATGCGGCCCTCTGTCTGATAATTCATTGCAACTGAAATGAAACATAAACAAGTAAATGAAAAGCTGCTGCAACACTAAACATACCTCTCATTGTAATTTTAAAGCAGGCAGTATTGCAGTCTCAGTGAGTGTCTTACCCATGTGGCATCCTGCGTTCCAGTATGGCTGTGGGTTAAAGTTGCTTGAGTCCACTCTGTAGTTGGATGGGTAGACTCTTATAAGTTGGCGCTGGTTGAAACGGACCAACTCCGCCGGCTTCAGCTGTAAGATCTGGTTCATGACAGTCTCGTTGAGGGATGATACCTGCCAACTGTTCGCAAAGGCTACCAGACAGGAGGGAAAAAACAGCCTCAGACATCCATCCTTAAATATACAATTAACTGTAACATTCTGCGTGTGATAAAAACATGCAAAGATTACCTTGTGTTTCGATGTCATGCACACGGACAGACTTTGTGTACTTGACCAGGTCAGACAGAGCACGGGACAACCTCATTGTTTTCCTCTTCCTGAAGGGAAAGTTATAGACATACACACAGGTTAAATCACAGGCCTGTGCATTATCCTTGACTCAGACTTATATTTTAAATCCAACATAAAGAAGGTAATCAAAACAGTTTTCTTTCATTTAAGAAATATTGCAAAAGTACACCTGTTTCTATCCAAACAAGGTGCCAAAAAATGTAGACTCCTGTAATTAATGCCTTCTTCACCGGTCTCCCAAAACAATAAACTACAATAAATTCAGAACTCTGCCACTGGGCTTTTTTTATTTTTTTTATTTTTTTACAACAAGACAGAGAGAGCATGTCACCCTGATTTTAGCCAACCTACACTGGCTCCTGGTGTCTTTTAGGATTGATTTTAAAGCTCTTTTACTCATTTACAAGGCTCTTACAGGTGCATGACCAGCCTACATTACCAGTTCCTTGAAGTTTTATCATCCTTCATGGTCTCTCAGACCCTCCTCTACCTTTTTTTTCTTTTAACATCACACAAATAAGAAAACTGGCAGCTATGGAATCCTCCACCCAAGGCCATAAGAGATGCAAATTATGTTAAGATTTTTAAACAGCAATTAAAAACGTATTTATTCAGCATAACCTTAAAAAAACTGTCACTTTTCCTTTGTTTCACTCTCATCTTTCACGTGTTTCATCCTTCAAATGTCTTGTTTGTTTTTACCTCTACGCCATAACATACCATAACTTAACAGGCCTATATTTGGGACAGATGTCTATGTGGGACAGGCCTTTAGTTCCTT